TCTTGCTGGGTATAACACGTACACCTAATAGTCAGACCTACTGGTCAGAAAAGATTGCAAAGCGACAAACAACTCCAATGCGGCTGTGTCATACACCAAGACTATTGATACTTTACATGTGCACTGTACATGCATACTTCCAGATGTCACAAGTCCGTGAGGTCACAGGCTACCATATCTGGGGTATTGATATTTGTCATACTGTAGATATTTGATAGGAAAACAGGTGATGCCTTGGTGGGAGCATAAAAATGATACAAGAGAGTGTGCCATCGGAGTCCCCAGAATGAATTCATATCAAAACAAGAAGTTCTACCCCACTCATATTCACATCACTTTCTTTGTACACTTTGGGGAAATAAGTGCACTTTACTCTCTGGTCCAATTCTGGAGATAATTGCCCTCACTCGCCAATGCAATTGCGATGCTGCTTTTGCTATGAAATTGACCAGAACATGTCTGACATGAACTTCAAAGATGAACTTCACGTCAGGCATAAACGTACATTCAGTTAGTAATATTTCACATCTGATTTCCGTTGTTGAAAAAACTCTGCTGGAAAAATCTCCCCTTAGAAGTTTGAAAAACAGGTAGCATCAAATAACGGGCTACATCACGCCAACATCATGGCGGTTGCTTCCATGACATTGATGGCCTGGGTTAAAGGATGTCGAACAGACATAATACCTGGAGAAGCAGCCTACATATACTTTAGCTGCGGAATTTACACTGCAAACAGTGGCATAACTAGGATTTCACTAGTGGGGGAAGGGGGGAACAAAGGGGGCACTGGCATCTTATGGGGAGCACCAGCTTTCAGTGGTGTGGTTTTTTTGGGTGGGGCAAGTTTATTTTAGCCTTGTTCAATATCCACTCATCTGTTTTTATGGGGGGGAGGGCACTTGGGGGGACACTGTGAGTTTGTGGGGGCATGTGCCCCCTAGGCATCCCCCAAGCTACCCCACTAATGGAAAACTGTACAGCTGTCTCCACCCTGTTAGAACGGTTAGTCAAGCCACTAGAAAAGTCTCCATTGTCCGGAGAGTTATCACAGTTCAACATAAACAGCCATAAGATATCTCTGGTCTGAAATAATGGCAAAAGCGGAGCGTTACTTGCAAGCACTATTCTACATGTATCAGGCGGGCATTGCGACCAAGTTCGCGCACACCACAAAAACACATATTCACCAACATCCCTTTGACTACAACTACATGCACCACAGCTACTAGGAAATGTGAATGCTGTTGCCTTTGAAAACTCGTGTAGAAAGTAATACAGTCGACGCTCATCATAAAGAACACCATTGCAACCAAATACTGTCATAGAGAACAGATTTTGAGAATCCCAATTTCTTGAACTTTAATGTACATGTATTTCCTTGTTTTCCACACCTCTTACAACATAGTCATGGTTATAAATAAGCATTTTGTCTGATCCCTGTAACTTTCCAACAAGAGTGGAGTGTATACATGTACTTCTGTATTAAGCAGGGAAATCCTACATGTATCTAGATACATATTGTATGCACAACTATGTTTGAAGGCAGAGCAGTTGAAAAGGGTACTGGGGACTAGTTACCATGGAGGGAGAAAAAACGACACAAGGGAGGTGCAGCGAGCTTTGGTATAGCCAACTTGGTACTTCAACTTGGAAACTTGTACATGTACATGCACCCGTCCATACCTGACACTGAGCAAATTCAGAAAGTTCAGTGTTGGCAAATGGGCTTAAGGGTCGGCCTGATAAGACCAGTCTCACAGGCTGAAGCTGGATTTCTACCATATCACCTGCAATGCACTTCATTATGGGCGATATCAAACTGACTCATACATTAAGGTTTGGTCATGATAATGGTCAGAAGAGATCAGGCTCTGATACACATGTGTGTAAAAGAATTGACGATCTGTGGTATGGCCCCTTCACGGTCAAAATTAAGTAAATCAAGTCACACAAAAAGCAGGTGAAACAGCTTTCTTTTATTAAAAGTCAGGATACTTGCCAGATGTTTTCTTATACAAATCTTATCTTGACTCTTTACAGTCTCGGGGCCTACTTCTCACAGAAGTACATTAACAGGACGGCAGGGAGAAACATCAGAACCTCCAGGATTCTAACTGGCTCCTTAACACTCTGCGCAACTGTGCATGCATTCCACGCTGAGAGAAGTTAATTGCTGGGTCTGGGCACCTGATAGTTTTCTTCATCCAACAGTTTAAGCAATGTACAGATCTGCATTCTGGGCAATCACACATATCATACCATGGTGCAGGCTGGCATGCCACTGTGAAACGGTTCAACCCATTCACTGTAATCAGGGAATAAATTCTTTGTGTTTGGCAGGTCCTAAACATCTGTTTCAGGCTGCATCGAAAGAAAGGAAGAGCCACACACAAAGTCCATTCTTCTGGGCCAGTTTTTAATGAAAGTTTAGGACCAGACAAGCACATAAATGTATACATGTACATGTAATTTATTCCCACTCACAGAGCAAGTTTCAAGAAAAGATTTCACATTTCCAACCATTTCATTCAAATAATTTCACTTCATTTTTTTCAAATACTCATTAGTATAAAATATGCGCCTCTCACAAGTAGTCATAAGCAATCTCCTTACATGTATATGGCGACTGGTGTGCACATGATGGCACCACGCACTGCAGGAAGCGGTGAAGTACGCAACGACCTACATGTAGTGTAGTGTGAATTTTAAGCTCTCAAAATGTGGACTGATTGTTAGTGCAGTACAAACACAAATGAAGACTGAATGATTGCTCAGGCAACACAAGACAAAAGAAACCACATTTCATAAAGGTCTTCATTTCAGGTGACATCAGAAAAAGTGCTTATCATGATCAGCCAGTGCTTCATCGACCATTTAAGGCTGGCTTTGTGACAGGCTCTCACCCAATAGGAATTGCTTGACTCCTCAATGTGTGTGAACGATTAATAATCCTTACCACCACTGTATATTTTTCTGCCTTTGTGTAGCATTTGTTATTATATGCACAAACACAAGCTCTTTTTATATCTGTAACTTTCTGTAAGAATGATCCAGTGTGCTTGGGCCCTGTGGAGGCTTTTGTCCCAACATTTTCCCATAAACTGTAAGTTCTCTGTGGTGCTCTAAGCTAATTCACCGGCACAGAACTTTCAACAGAAAACAAAAACAACTTGGGAAAAGAGAGGAAAGTAGTAGAGAAAAAAGTGGAAAAACCTGTAAAAAGGGACTCACATGTGGTTGCCCTGTGACCTGTGACCTGGACTGAATCTAAGACAGAGTGCAGCGACTGGCACAAAACAAAATGTCAAAAAATAAAGACAAAGTGTCAGACTTGAGGAAACAGGGTTTTTTAAAAGAGGGAGGAGGGGAGGTTGAAGCATCCTAGAACAGTTAGTGGGGCCTTGACATGCAATCTCTCAGAGGGGGAGTCTTAAGCTGTGTTCCCAACTTCCCACTGGACTTTCTCTTCAGTGCCCTTGCTGAGACTTAAACACACAACTCCTTCTTTTTTATCCCTTTGTTTATAAAAAGGTCTTTGCGTTCCCACCTGGACTTTTTCTCAGCTGTGGACATTTCTTTCTCTGTGCGTGGTTGGCCAGTCTAAAGTGTACCGGTATCTTTGCAGACTTAAAACAAATACACGAACATGTAGTCTGCTGCATTGATGCTTAACTACATGTATGTTGAGTGACCAACATTCCCTCAATTTCTTACCATCTACCAAAACTGGCTTTTACTCCCACCAATCCCCATCATGCGTTCTCGCTGTTTCAATTAAAATTTGCCTAAATATTTGTGCACAGCACCACACCACCAATATAGTGATGTGTCCATGTACCAGGGGTTAGGTACCAAACAAAGGGATAGGGGCACCATTCTTCACCTGAGGCATTTTACGGCGTATTACCATGGCCCTACTTTCTGCAAGGTTCACTTTCAGCCTGGCAAGTTATCACAAGAGCAATGTCACACTAACATGTAAAGTCACCGTGCATTCAGAATGGACTTTAATTTTACAAATTCTTCCAACTAGGTTCGGTAATTTAAAAAAAAATAAAAAGAAATTGTCCAATGGGAACACAGCTTATCACTTGGATAGCTGGACTTCTGGCATAGACTCAATGCACATATGAGGGCACTATGTCATCCAGCAATGATGCCCAGAGTTATTTAGAATGTTCCAAATTTGGGCTGAACCTCTTACTTTGACCCTCTGGGTCTATTTTATCTCTGTTTACTGCCAAAGACAACGTTGGATAGTGACAACAAAATCTGGAATACTTCCTTTTGGTTCCAGCTGCAAACGTGGGCAAACAGTGCTGGACCAGCAAGAGAATGAAGATGAGTCCAGAAATGAAGCCAGCTCCAAACCCACTGTTCAATTCTATCTACGGGGCAGCGCCGACATCTGGGAGTTTCACAAAAATACGGGTAGGGACCACACCAAGAAAGCAACTGCAACGAGTGTGCACGTATGCACAGATCAAAGAACAGATTGTATAACCCGATCCTCGGACTGGCTGGTGCGTGCGTACGTCGCCAAGGTTGCTGTTTTCACCGGCACTGTACCTGTCATTTTGCGAGAATCCCGGATGTCCGCGCTGCCCCATAGACAAATCTAGCAACATTTAACTGGACATTCAAAATGAACCCCTCCCCCTTTAAGGGCAGAAAGTTTTGTTTTAAGTTTTGTATGAAGCCAATATCAGTGGCTCCATACAACATTTGTCACAAGGCTTTATAATGCCGGATTCATCAATAATGTATGCTGTACATGTGTTCACATGTCCCACCACCCCCAAAAAACAGGGTACAAGGTACATGTATCCCGTCAAAGTATTTTTTAAATGCATTACAAGGTCAGTGTTCATGGTACACGAACATAAATTGATGTACATGTGGAAACAAAATACAGAAATGTCCCTTCCTAACAATAAATACATTTTGCACATGTTCACCATCGAGGTGTCAAGCCACCAGCATTTTTTCTTTTCTGTTCTGAATGCATGTACACGTACATGTACCCAGCACAAGTTCCCCTAGTGAGGAAATAAAAAGTTTCATAAACATAATGTGTCATCAATATGCTCTCAGCTCATGAAGTTAAAGTTAATATTCAGCGTTAGTGAAATTGAACAAACACCTACATGTGTTCTACAGGGGTACACAATTGTACCTTGGAAACAAAAGATTTAATACCAAGGGGGGAGGGAAGTGTGGGGGTCAGCCTGAATCTAGAATCTCGAGTCTGAACGACGGGAAATTTCTATACAAAAGCAACACAAAAGATTATGCATACACAGAATAAGAATATGTAGGCATGGCCATTCTGTGCACACAGTAGAAATTATGCAAATGACACCTGTTAGTGGATGAGCACACAATCGATGCAGTTTCTTGTAAACAGGGAATCTTTGCACCTTCTTCTGTTGAACCATGTAGTTGAACAGATACAAGTACTGTTCCACTGTTTAATGGGATTGAAAGGTGTGCTACGAGTAGCTCCTCGACCTCAATAGGCGGACTTTGCTCAACCTCAAGATTTTCTTCCTTTTTTGGCCACACCAGCAATACATAAATGCAGAAAGGCACTTCCATGTACAAGATAGGGTGGACAAGAGTGCAAGGAGAACTTTTATCTACAGATCCGGGTTAAACACAGAATGCACGCTTTTCGGTCCAGAAAATTCACCAATTTCTCTCTTCCCCAGTCCCCACATGATTTTGGACATCTAAGGTCAAGATCACTGAGATTCCGAGCAACATTATTGACATTCAATCTAGTCAGAGTTTGGGAATGCACACCTTGAGGTGAGTACAAACACTGTCTTGTGAGCAGCACACTGGACAGGAGATGAACTCTTAATTGATCAGAATTGCCAATACCATTCAGTCTCTGCAACATGTACCAGTTCAATCGGTATGTAAAAAGTGCTTAATCGGAAATAAATCTGTATAAACCTAGTCCTTTTGATAGACCTGTACATCTAGATACATCTTGGTGGCTATGCTTCCCGAAATATGCTTTGCAATTGGGGTACATGCACTTTATTTTCCCTCCTGTAGGTACCTGAGTAATCTAATATCAGCAGTTTGCTGAGCGGTACAGGGTCATGTGCATGTAATACTCCTAAAAATAGCTTGACTCAATCAGCAGAGCTGGTTGACACAATTTAACCCACGTGTAGACGTGCCCATGTACATGTACTGCTAAAGTGACTAATGTGGCACCCTTGTTTGGCAGGAAAATGCAGCCAATCTGTATTTTTTTCTTCTTTTTCACCCAATTTTCTAGTTTTTTTGGGGGGGGATGAGTCATCTGCTGAGTGAGCTCGGCTTCATTAATAGCTGTGTAGGCACAGACAAATGTACCAATACTGTTGCTGTTGTGCTGAAGTTTTGCCGCTTTCATTAGCACAGTGGTACTGTCATCAGGGACAAAATCTGACTGATTTTATGTGAACAGTTTATATATGGAATTGATTTAACTTGTGTGATCTTCCCTGAGCCTTGGTTCCCAGCTTATAAGAAGCATAGAAAAGTGTGTTCGGGCATTTCAGGTAAAAGTGAAAGCTGGCAAAAATCTTTTAAAATTTGCTTTCAAGGATGTGACTTTTGCTTTAAGAGTAAACAATGGTCATCTTACTGTCAAAACCTTAGAAATCTATTAAATTTTCTTTCTCAGGTGAGGGGTAGATGGACAGGAACTTTAAATCATAGGAGCACAATTAAGCAAACAAAGTGAGACAAGCCAGGTGGGGAGAAGAAAGGGATGGGGGGCAGCAAGGGTTGGGAGAGGATATGGAGTGGAAGAATAGCCAGAGTAGGGAGAAGCAAGGGTGGTGGTGCAGCGAGACTGGGGAGCAGCAAGGGTGGGGAGAGGATAAGGAATGGAAGAGTAGCAAGAGTGGGGAGAAGCAAGGGTGGTGGTGCAGCGAGACTGGGGAGCAGCAAGGGTGGGGAG